GAAAAAGAAAAAGAAAAAAAAGCTTTTCATGGTTTACTTATATTACCTGTAGCACTCTTGAACCTTTTCAAAAATGGCTTGCTGTAAGTATTCTGGTAGAGATATTAATCAATACATATTCATTGGGCTTTAGGTTCATTTTTCCTTTCATTACAATATCATTTTGATATTGCTGTGTACTATACCTCATTGTATCTGTACTCTTGGTTGTAGTGCCTTCATAATAATTTTAAATAAGGTAAGAGCATAGAGCTTATCCTTTATTCTAATGATGACTTTAAGGCATTTCTCTTATTCTTTGAGGGTAAGAAATAGGCAAAATATGTATATGGGAGGGTTTGAGGAAATAGTCACGTGATTTTTAGAAGGGTTAAATGGCTATATTTTAAGAATAGGAAATCATACATGACACTAGTCCTATAAGTACAAATAGTGGTGTCCCTGTGTAGAAATAAAGAAAATAAAGGGAAAGGACTGGTAAGTAATGCAGGAATACGGACTTGCATAGGAACATCGCTGGTGCAAGATAGGACTATCTATGTTACAGCGAACAGTTGACCCTTGAACCACATGGGGTCTGAACTGCTAGGTCCAATTACACGTGGATGTTTTCAAGAAGTACAGTACATAAATGTATTTTCTCTTCCTTATGATTTTCTTCATAACATTTTCTTTTCTCTAGCTTGCTTTATAATAGGAATACAGTATATGATACATACAACATACAAAATATGTGTTAATTGACCGTTTAACAATTACTAAAGTTTCTGGTCAATGGACGGCTCTTACTGGTTAAGTGTTTGGGGAGTCAAAGCTATAATGGATTCTCAACTGTGCAGGGGTATAGTGCCCCCAACCCCCGTATTGTTCAAGGGTCAGTTATATATAAAAGATAAATTGGCCACTGTTCCTGTCTGTTCCTAGAAATGCTATTGTTAAGGAACCTAAAAACCTCTTTAGAACATATGCTTAGTGAAGAAAACTAATTTTAATTTTAGAAGTTAATTATCAATATATAAATAAAAGTTTGAATTAACTCCATGGAATATGTGGGATTTTTAAAGTCCTATGAAATCTTAAGATTGATATGTACATATAATAGCATGCTTTCAAATTGTCTAGCTTTTAAAAAAATTCTAGAACTTTACACTTTAAAAAACCAAACAAGCATTCAACCAGGTTGAGTGAGACTGATTTTAACTAGATGAAAACATTTCTTCTTAAATTCTTATTAGATAGATTCATAAAACTACTATCAATGCAATAATCACTATGTATGCTTTCTACATATTAACTGCAAATCTAACAGCTCTAGCTATGAGTAGAAATTTACTGTAAACCTGCTGATTGTCTTTCATTTTCAGAACAAAACTTACACTTTAGAAAATAACAACAGGGGACTATTTTAACATTATACTCCTTATATGATATCTCTCCTTATGTTTCTGAAAAATATTTTGGTATGCTTACTCATACCTGTTCCCAACATGAGTAAAATTAGCACTGATATCTTTAGTAATTTCCTCAAATTGTGTTTAATTTTGCAAGTAAGGTGAATGCTACTCAGTTTTCACTCATTTTAAGGGGGAAAATGAGCTAAACAAATTTCTTACTTAAAAGAAAAAGACTCTTGAATTTGCTGGAACTTCATACATGGAGTTTCTTTATGTACTTTAAAATGATAGTTACATTATGTTTGTTGAGGTAAATAAATATTTCAAAAAAAAAGAGAAAGGAATAAAGGAGAAAAGGAAGGAAAAGAGACAGGGATAAGAAGGAAAGGAGAAAGGAAAAAAGGAAAAAGAGCCTGGTAGCTTAAAAAGAGAGGAAAATAAAGAAATAACTGGAATAATAGTTAAGAAATAAATAATAAAATGGATCATAAAAACATAAACGACTTTGGTCATTACTTACTGGACTCCTTTTGCAGATGACAGCCACAGAAGTTCATGTGCTTGTCCCTCAGCTAATCCAGAGCACAAGTCACTGCAGGCCACGCTTTGTTTCACCAACCCTGCTTCAGCTTTATTCCACCAAGTCATAACCACTGGTAGAACACATATTCACTAGCTAAATATGTAACTTCATTGAGTAAAAATATCAAATACACATTCGGAGCACATTAGATGGACAGGCTGATTCAGTTCTCTAAATAATTAAAAAAAACCTAGATAAGAAATTTATTTTAAAATAAATTATTAAATTTAATTCTGTCTTTTGAACCTAAGACCTATAAAACCTTCCCTTGCATCTTCCTTCTCTTTTAAAGCCAACTTCAAAGTCAGACTTCACTGCTAAATGTACAACACGAAGTTTGAGTAAAAACACCATATGTGTTTGATCCACCTCTTGGTAGATCATGCTAATGACTGGTAATTGCTGCTGGATGCATTGACAGACCACGTCAGAAGGAGTGGCCCTTCCTACCTCAAGCGTAGTGAGGGAATACAAAGGAAGGGACATTGCTGACTGCATTTGTTGATTATTCAAATTGCATGGGCAAATATGTCAGTACATCATTTTGGGGGGGGGGTCTTAAATAATGTGTTGATATTTTATTTGATTCTGGCAGCATTTTAATTAGTGAATATCATTTTTGTTCATTTAAAATATTGTACTGGGCACATACCAAAAGCAGGAACAGGGATAGACACTAGGGTGAATAAAACACTGAATAAGATAAACACAGGCACTGATCCAAAATCAATTAGAGGCACCCTGTGAGTTTAAAATTCAAATGTAAATGTTTCCATAGCTATCAAAACCGATGTCATCATCATCATTCGTTTTAATAAATTTAATTGCTAAAAATTAATATCAGAAGTCCTAATTAATGAAGAATGAATATGTAAACCAAAATTTAAGGTTTTCATTTCCAGAAACTAAGTTTGTATTTTCCAATTTAGTTTCAATGAGAAATTTTATTCAATGTCAAATCAATGACGATGCTTTGATTTTAGCTTGCTATTCTCAACTTTGACCACAATGTGGCAACCTTGCATAAGTTTTCAAATTTCACAGCCTGGAATAATTGGGACTTGAAGGTTTATGAAATTAAATACATTTTCCCATACTTAGGTCTAATATATGCGATTATAGGTAATTAAAAAATTTCTACTTTATATTTTTTCAATTATATTCATATAGTTATCAGGAAAAAAGTATATTTTCAAGAGGTGCATTTCTTTTTTTAAGTTTATTTACTTTTATTTTGAGAGAGGGAGGGGGAGGTGCAGAGAGAGAGAGGGAGAGAATCCCAAACATGCTTCGTGCTGTCAGTGCAGAGCCCCATGCAGGGCTGCATCTCAGAGACCATAAGATCATGACCTGAGTGGAAATCAAGAGTAGGTCACTTAACAGACTGACCACCCAGGCTCCCCAAGGTGCATTTCTTTTAAGAATTTATAGTGAACTCACAAAAAAAGTAAAAATTACATCGCCATTACATTTAATGATCCTACTTCATGCAAAACTCTTTTGAATTGATTATTAAAAATATGTATATATATATATAGATACTAATTTTAAAGCTGTGTGGAAACACTTCATACTGATTATAGAAAAAAATAACTTAAATATCTAATTTACCTGCTGTGCCATTTATTCTTTCATTCATTCCATAAAGAGTCACTCAGCATTATATTATTATATAATCAGGTTCAGTAAATGTTTCATTTGAACTTATGCATAGAAGGATATTAAGAATTATATATATGAATCATAAATTTTAAAAATTGAAGCTTGGATGCAATAAGCTTATAAGCAATTTATCTGGCATTCTTTTATTCTATCAAAGTTATGTGACAAATAAATAAAATTTTCAAGCCCAACTATAAAATGGCTTTTATTTTTATTTTCCAGTGAAATAGCTGCTTACTGCCTTAGAGTAAGTATAAAAGGCAGAGTCATTTCACTTATCAATTTAATTTATATTCCCTTTTGTTCCTGAAAGGACTTAAAACTATCCACCAAAAAAATTAAAAAAAACTATTTAACATACCATTTTATGCCTCTCCCACGGTGGTGTCTGATCTGCGGAAGTTACTTTTTTTCAATAACCATCTAAGTTTTGACATCTACTTTGAGTCATTTTCTTTCAAATATTTGACAATGCCTTCCTGTCCGAGCCATTATCTTAGTTAACCGCATGAGTTGGAACTTTCCAATTCTAGGTATTGCCACTCTAATATCTTCTTCCTGTTTCTCTTAATACAAATAAATGTTAAAATTGAAATTTGGCAATAAGTTATTATGTATATGTTTTGAATTCATTAATAGCATCTGAATTGTTCAGAGGCTCTGCCACAACCAGTCCTGGGGTCTAGGCTTCATTTTGTCACTTCTTATTGTGTGACCCTGAGCCAGTGACTAAACCTCTCTAAACTTTCAGATTTCCATCTCTGTAAAATTTTTTTAATAATTCACTTACTTGATTCAGGTTGCTTCACTGGGTTTGCGAAACTGGTGCTTCCTAGTATTTTGTGACGATTTCGCGAAAGAATGCCTACAAAGCACTTGACACAAGTTCTGGCAGATTGTAAGCAGTTATTAATACTCTGCATAGAGGGCAATCATTCCGCACTGAAATTTCCAGAGGGTTTTGCTGCATAGTTTTTTTCAGCTTACAGTTCTCAATTTTTCATACTTTAATTCTTGCACTCCTGCTGCACTGGATACCTAATCTGAAACAAAAAGTTCTAGCTATTTCCTTGCTGAGGGAATGGTTAACATTCATTGAGTGCTTCCTGTTTGGCCAGCATTGGGTTAAATGTTTTTCATGTGCTTCTCCATTGATCTTCCTAGCAATCCTCTAGGAAACATATATTATTGTGATTTTTCTTAACTTTCAACGTGAAGAAACCGAGGATCAGAAAGATTGAGTAACTTGTCCAAAGTCCTCATACCACTTGTTGGTGA